AGCTAAGGACTGCAGCTAACTAACTAAGTTCTTTATTTGAACTCCTTTGCAGTTAGATGAAGCCTTTTTAATGACTCCAGAAAACCTACTCACCAGTACACAAGAAGGAGGTGTATGCTTTTGCAAAGAACGAAGACCAGATGAGCCTGAAGTGTTCAGAAGACATCTAGCCATTGAATCAACACAAGCTGTTACATCATGTGAACGTAAAGTCTTTATGAAGTCTCTTGTTTGCATTTCATTTTATGGCATAATGAATTGCTGCTTGAGGAAGAGACTTTTTGACTATGCTGGGGGTGCACATTTGACCAGGGGGGTCAAGAAGCCCACGAATGTCTTACTTGGTTAGATGAAGACATAAACCAAAGAATTCAGGAACTTTGCCAGGAAATATGTCTTGATAGCATTTTCAATGCTGTTATAACCATTGGGTTTGCCAGGAACATTCTCAGAATTACTGTGAAACATTTAACTCAGGTTAGAGAGCTTCTAAACACTGTGTATTCTGCAGAAGATCCTAATGTTCCTCTTCACGATTTGATCACTGAGGAAGATAAAACACTCATATCCCATATTGAATGCTTAATTGGTACTAGAGATAATAAAACCCTGCTTAAGAGAAAAGCTTAGCAAAAACTGTTTAAAATGAGGGTGGGGGGGTTATATCTTTTGCTGATCTTGATGGGAGGCTGGGGGATGTGAGGTTGTAAAGCACATCAACAGTTTTCTACAGATAATGTACATTAGCATTTGCTTTAGTGTCTTGGATCTCTAATCACATACAGATAGGGTTTTTTATAAGGATAAAACCAATGAGACTTAATGACCACTACAAATGATAAAAAAAACCTTCTTAGGAGAAGGGGTAACAAAATAAATTAGTAAATATTGTAAAAGTTTTGATGGAAATAAAGACTGAATTTAAAAAGGTATATTCTCACAGCTTTTGTATGGTAGGGGGGTGGTGGGGGGTGTGTTATAAAGATAAATGAGACCACAAAAAAAATGACAATTGTGTTCAGAGCTCTTCTTGTTTTAAGACTAAAGTAGTTATCATTTACCAAAAGGCCAGTGGTAAAGATAAGGCTGACAAGGCTTAATGGTCACAGGAAATGAAAAACACTTCTTAGAAGGTTTAACAAAAGAAATCACTAAATATTATAAAAGATTTTGATGGAAATAAAGACTGAATTTAAAAATATATATTCTCACAGATTGTGTATGGTATGGAGTGGTGAGTGTGTAAAGATAAACCAGATCAAAATAAGTGAATTAATAAAAGCTGATTGGTGTGTCCAGATCTGCACATATTTTAAGACTAAAGGGGTGGAGTTGTCTTTTAGTGGTGACTATTTTAATAAAGTTATATTTTACTTTATACATACACTATTTTCCTTAATCTATTATTTATTTTTTTAATACAGAGGACTTACTTATTGTATCATTTCATTTATATTACAGAGAGCTTATCAGGTGGGGAAGCCCCATGCAATTTTACCACAGGAAGGTAAAAAATTATTTTAAAATGGTAGGTTATTTGTGACTGTGTTACTATAATCACACTAAGTTATAACAGCTGTTTGTTTTCAAACAGAACCTCTTCTTCTAAAATAGAAAAGCAGAACAAGCACATACAGTCATGTTTTTATCCAGTAGTAAAAGGTAATTTTTCTGAAATCAGCTTCTGAAACTTTGTGTTTCTTGTGGGAGGAGCTGTGTGTAGGGGTTAAGCAAATTTTAAATTTGCAGTGTGTGAGGAAAGTGAATTCTCAATGCTGAGATGTAAATGTTATATTTTTCTAAGCAATCACATGCACCACTCCCAAAGAAGAGCGGGGGCCTGGGCAGAGACCTCTAAAAGCACAAGCAAAAAACCCCAGAAATGCTCAGCCTGCAGATCATAATACCCAAGGATCAGAAGACCACCAGGACAGAACAGAAAAGTATGGTTCCTCAGAGGAAAACAAGCCACATACCTCTGAGAAAACCACATGTAAAAAGACAAGAATTCCTACCCCCAAAACAGGTGACCTGGACCCCTTGAATAAGAAACCCAGGACTGATTACTCACACAATTTAGAGAAAGAGAAGAGTCTTTCTCCCTTTTTGAAAGATCATGAATATTGTGAAAAAAGAAGGTGGATTTTCAGGGTGGGTATAAACAATTTGTCTTGAAAAATCATGATTATTGTGAAAAAAGAGGGGGGGTTTGGGGTGCACTGGCAGACATATACATCTCAGAAAGAGTGTGCAGAGAGCCTTGAAAGATCATGATTACTACCAGAGCAAAAGACTAAATTTTACTCAGAGAGGAGATAGTTCGTGTAACTCAGACAGCAGGCATGGTCTCTATCATAAGAGGGGGAGTCATGGTAAACATGGGGGTAAGAATGAGTGGCAAACCAGCAAGTGGCTCACGGGGCAAAAAGTAAGGGCCTGGTTAAAGAGGAGCACGGGGAAGGCTAAACACTTTTTGAGGAAAAAAAAAAAGAGATCCCCTAGGGATCCCTCAAACACTTCTCCTCCTTCCAGTCCTGACCCTTCACCAGAACCCCCAGAGCCAGAGAAAGGGGGGGAGTATATGGTTTAGGAAGCCCGTTAGAGGGTCCCTCACATGTACCCCAGCCTCCCAGACCTGACCTTTCACCAGGACCCACAGAGCCAGAGAGGGGAGATGGTGACTGTGATTTAGGAAGACCGTTAGAGGGTCCCTCAAATGCTCCCAGACCACCTAGGCATCCCCCACCACCAAGACCTGGAGTGTCAGAGGGTTGGGATAACAAATCTGGTGTAGAAGACAGTTTAGAGGATCCCTCAAGTGCCCCCGGGTCTTCTGAGTCATCAGAGGATGTTTTACCAGATGTACATATGGTGCGTGTGAGAAGGCAAGAGTGGTCTGTAGCCAGGTTTGGTGGCAAGAGGTACACTGAGGAGTTCCATTTTGTGAATTTGGAGCTTGTGCCATTACACGTGGCATACAAAGCCATAACCCGAGGGGTGGAAGAAATTGTAGCAGAACTCTGACAGAGATTCACAGGCAATGACTATGCACAGTTACGTATTCAGACAGATAGCATGGCAAACTGTTTATACTCATGAGCTATTAATTTAAACAATTTGACCCCAGAGCTGTTTTTAGAGTGGTTCAGTAAACTGTTACAAAGCCAGAGAGAAATATTGCTTGATTTGACATTTCGGCTGGTTGTGGTCGTTGTGAAAGGCCGGGGAGGTGGAAGCCGTAGAGTTATAAGCTCTATCCCCTATTCCAAGATCATTACTAAAAAGAGGAAGTATTTAATTGACTTGAATACCTATGATACTAACCTGTGTTTTGCAGGCAGTCTATTGGCTGTTACAAAATGTAGAGGGGCCAGAGATGTCGAGCTGCAAGATGGTGCCAAAGAACTGTGCAACCGCTGGGCTTCCACCAGCCGCTCTCGGGCGGCCCTGATCTCCTTGCAGTTGTCTCCACCCCTTCTGGGCCGGTTTGTTGCCAGGGTAGTTCTTCCTCACGCATCGCCAACCCTGTTCTCTCCTGCCACGTCGTGATGTTCCTCAGTAGGCAGGGCTATTTAGCGGTTCCCTTGGTGTCCCAGGCTAGGCCCAACGGTTGCTCATGGGGCTCCGCCAGCCCTACACCCCGGCCTCACGCCACCTTCGATGCACCGCTTCGTAGTTATCTGTGGTCTTCCCTGCAGGCCTCAGCAGCTGCTCAGTGTCCTGGAGCCGATAACGGGAGACTCCATTCCCCTAGCTCAGGGACTCTGGAATCCTTACTGCACCACCACCAACCCACCACCTACTCCCTGTCCCCGGACCCTTAAAGAAGAGGGAGGGCACTCCCCTGTATCTGCCGCTTCCTGACTGGTTCAGACCCCTCGTTCAATGTCTTGGGTCCCGGTGGCGATCCCGCCCCGATTACTCTCCTGCAGGGTTGTCCTTGGCTCTTCACCTCTTGGCTCGGTGTCCTCCAAGCCCACAGTTCTAGCACTCACTTTTGAATCCTGCGGCACTCTCGGGGCTGCTTCTGCCTTCCCTCACTCGGTCAGCTTGTCGCTCCTCTGGTGATCAGCCGAGGTCTTCGTTGTGGTGCCTCCCTCCGCGGCCACCAACACCTCCTGCTCACTGGATCCCTGGAGGCTTGCCCGCGGAGCCCACTCTGCCACCAGTGTCAGCTGCAGCTTGTCCTCCAGATGATCCGCCCCCTCAACAGCAGCGTCTGCCATTTTTAACTCTGCTGGCCCGTGTCTGACGCTGACGTCACCAGCCAGCTGCAGCTGTACAAAAAGGCGGCTAACAAACCACGTGGGTTCCTCCCTCCACTCCACACGTGTTCCGTCCCGGGCTGCAGGTAAGTGTCCCGCATTACTTCGGCTCCCGGGACAAACTGCATAGGAAATTAGGCATGTCTATATATCAAAAAGTTATGCTCCATCAAGTACCTTTGTTTGAAGACCTTGAAAAAGTTAACATTCACATAGTGATGCATAAGGAAAAAAACTGGGTGGAGTTTATTTAAAACAGGATGCACCCAGATACCCCAACACCTGTTTTCTTCTGCCACATGGTGAACATTATTATGGCATTTTGGATGTGAAAAAGGTGTTTGGCATGAGAAATTATTGCAATCTTTGTCAGACGTTGTACAGCCATAGCCACACGTGCAGGTTCTGATGTCATCTTTGCCTGAGCCCAAACTGCTCTGAAAACATGGGCAGGACACAGATGTGCCCTAATTGTAAGGTGTTCTGTCATTCCAAAGAGTGCTTAGAAAGGCATGTGGCCCTGGCCTCTGAAAAACGGATTGAATGTATGACTAAAACTCTGTGCGATGAGTGTAAATCTTACGTGGACAAAAAGCACGAGTGCAAGGGGCGGCAGTGCAAACAGTGTTATGGGAAAATCACAGATGTAAACAAACACTGATGCTTTATGCATCAGATTAAAGAGCCTGAAGAAGGCAAGGGGTACAATTTTTATGATTTTGAATGTGTGCAGGAGACAGGGATGCATGTAACCAATTAGATTTTTGTAATGTAGCTAAAGACAGGGGGGAAAAAAATGCAGAAAGCCACAGGCAAAACCCCCAAAAAGGCTTGTAAAGCTAAGCCCAAAAAGACAGAAAGCACTTGGGAGTTTAAGGGTGAAGAGTTCCTGTCTGATTTTATTAAGGTTTTTATGGATAAAAAGTTCAAGGACTATACCTTCATAGCTCACAATGCCAAAGGCTACGATGCTTACTTCATTGTCAGCCAGTTATTGAAGGAAAAAATGGGTGTGAAACTAATCACTCAGGGTGGTAAACTCATGTGTATTGAAGTGACCAAGCTAGGCATCCGTTTCATAGATTCTTTAAACTTTTTGCCAATGAAACTTAGCAGGCTTCCACAGGCGATGGGGTTTGAAGGATGCAAAGGTTATTTCCCACATTTTTTTAACACAGCAGAAAACCAGAATTATGTGGGGCCTCTCCCAAAGATGGAGTATTACGGCGCTGAAAATATGATAGCTGGTGAGAAAGGACAATTTTTAGAATGGTATCAGAATAACCGCGATAAGACCTTTGACATGCAAAAGGAGCTGGCCTATTATTGCCAGCAGGATGTAAAAATTTTGAAAGAGGCCTGCTGCCTCTACAGGGATGAGATTATGAAAATGACACAGCAGGTAGACCTAGTGAAAGTAGATGGTGAACTCCAAAATGTAGTGTGCTGCATAGATCCTTTCCAATACACCACGCTGGCCTCCGTCTGCATGGCCATGTACAGGTTTGTTTTTGGAACCGCAAACCATAGCGCTTCTCCCCCCAGACAACTATCAGACAAAAAAAGAGGTTTTCAACCCCATCTATTCAGTGGCTAATGTTCATTTTGGAGAAAGAAAATATTCAAATTCAACATGCTTTACAGGGTGGGGAATTTCAGGTAGGCCCCTATTTTTTAGATGGCTATGCCAACATTGATGGGGAACCTACGGCGTTTGAATTTAACGGATGCT